CTTTTAATATTTACTCTCAGCAACTTTCAAATACACACTATAGTATTATTAATTATAGTCACCATGCTGTACATTACATGCCCAGTACTTATTTATTTTATAACTGGCTGGAAATTTGGCCCTTGAAACACCATTGCCCATTTCACCACCCTACTCCTGTCACCTCTAGCAACCACCAGTCTGTTCTCTGAATCTATGAGTTTGGTTTGCTTCATTTTCTTGTTTGCTTTTTAGATCTCACTTTTGAGATCATATAGTATTTGTCTTTGACTTATTTCACTTAGCATATTGCCCTCAAGTCCACCCAGGTTTTTACAAATGGCAATATTTCCTTCTTTTTTATGGCTGAATAATATTCCATCATATACCACATTTTAAAAAATCTGTTCAATGGACGTTTATGTTACTTCAATATCTTGGCTATTGTAAATAATGCTGCATTGAATATAGGAGTGCGTGTATGTTTTGACCTACTTTTTTTCTTTCGTTTGGATAAATATCCAGAAGTGGAATTACTGGATCATGTGGTAGCTCTACTTTTAATTCTTTGAGGAACTCCATACTGTTTTCCATATGGTTGCAGCAATTGACATTCTCACTAACAGGGCACAGTTGCCCTTTTCTACATGTCCTTGCCTATTGTTATTTTCTCTTTTTTATAATAGCCGTTCTAACAGGTGTGAGGTGATACTGCATTATAGTTTTGATTTGCATTTGCCTGATGATTAGTGATGTTGAACACCTTTTCATGTACCTGCTGGCCATTTGTATGTCTTCTTTGGAAAAATGTCTATTCAGGTCCTCCACCCATTTTATAATCAGATTGTTTTCATGCTGTCGTGTGAGATATTTATATATTTTGGACATTAACCTATGTCAGATATGTGATTAAGCTGTCAGATATGTGATTTGCAAATATTTTCTCCCATTTGGGAAGTTGAGCCTTTCCATTTTGTTGATTTCTTCTGCTGTTCAGCTTTTTTTTTTAGTTTGAAGTAGTCCCACTTGTTTATTTCTGCTTTTTACCTTTAAGTGTTCAAATTTTAATCCATTTTGAATTAATGTTGGTGTATGTCCAGTGTCATTCTTTTGCATGTGGCCGTCCCATTACCCCAGCACCATTTATTGAAGAGACAGTCTTTCCCAATTGTACATACTTGGCTCCTTTGTCATTAATTAATTGACCACTTATGTGTAGGTGTATTTCTGGCCTTTCTATTCTGTTTCATTGATCTGTGTTTTTTATACCATACTGTTTTGATTACTATAGCTTTGTAAAATCAGTACGCATGACATATCTTTGTTCTTTCTCAAGATTGATTTGGCCACTTTGAGTCTTTTGTAGTTCCATACAAATTTTAGGATTGTTTGTTCTATTTCTGTGAAAAATGCCATTAGAAATTTGATAGGGATTGCATTCAATCTGTAGGATATTTTGGATAGCATGGACATTTTAAACAATATTACTTCTTCTAATCCATGAACAGAGAATATCTTTCCATTTCATAAGCTTCTTAGACTTTTCAGGGTACAGATCTTTCATGTCCTTGGTTACATTTAGTCCTATGATTTTTTTCCTTGATTCTATTGTAAATGAGATTTTCTTAATTTCTTTCTGATAGTCATTATTAGTGTATAGAAAAGCAGCTGATTTTTGTATACTGATTTAGGATCTTGCAACTTTACTGAAATTGTTTATTCTAATTGGTTTTTAATGGAGTCTTTAAGGTTCTCTATATGTAGCATCATGTTATCTGCAAATAGTGACAGTTTTACTTCTTCCTCTCCAATTTGGATGCCTTTTGTTTTTCTTGCCTAATAGCTCTGGTGAGGGCTTCTAACACTGTCAAATAAGGGACAAAAGTGAGCATCCTTGTTTTGTTCCTAATCTTAGAAGAAAAGCTTTCAGCTTTTCATTGTTGAGTGAGATGTTGTGTCATATTTGGCCTACATTGTGTTAAGGCACATTCCCTTTATACTCACTTATAGAGAGCTTTTAATCATGAATGGCTGTTGAATTTCAGATGCTTTTCTGTATCTGTTGAGATGACCATGATTTTTATTTTCATTTTGTTAATGGGTGTATTACATTGATTTGTGGATGTTGAACTATCCTTGTACCTCTGGAATACATCACACTTGATCATGGTGTAGAATCTTTTTAATGTATTGTTGAATTCAGTTTACTAATATTTTGTTAAGGATTTTTATATCTTTGTTCATCAAGGATATTTGCCTGTAATTTTCTTGTAATGTCCTTGTCTGGTTTGGGTACAGGAGTAATGCTGGCCTTGTAAAATGAGTTTGGAAGTGTTCATCCTCTTCTGTTTTCTGGAAGAGTTTGAGAAGGATTGGTATTAATTCTTTAAATGTTTGGTAGGATTCACCACTAAAGCCATCTGGTTCTAGACTTTTCTGTGTTGTGAGGTTTTTAATTACTGATTCAATCTCCTTACTAGTATCAGTCTGTTCATGTTTTATATTTCTTTGTAGATTGTGTGTTTCTAGTAATTTATCCTTTTCTTCTAGGTTGTCCATTGTGTTTATGTATAATTATTCTTAATGGTCTCTGTGATTGATTTCTGTGGTATAAGTTGTAATGTCCCCTCTTTCATTCATAATTTCAATTATTGAAGTCTTCTGTCTTTTTCTTGGTGAGTCTAACAAAAGGTTTGTCAGTTTTATCTTTTCAAAGAACTGCCTCTTATTTTCATTAATGTTTTCTATTGTCTTTTTGGTGTTTTATTTCTGTTCTGATCTTTCCTTCCTTTCTTCTACCAACTTTGAGCTTAGTTTGTTCTTTTTCTAGTTCCTTGAAATGTAAAGTTAAGTTGTTTATATGAGATATCTTTTTCTTCATGTAGGCATTTATCACTATAAATTTCCCTTTAACTGCTTTTGCTGCATCCCATAAGTTTTGATATATCATGTTTTCGTTTTTACCTTTCTCAAGATAATTTTTCTTTTGATTCGACCCATTGTTCAGGAGGATGTTGTTTAATCTCCCTTGAGAATTTTCCAGTTTCATACCATTGTAGTCTGAAAAGATGCTTGATGTGATTTCAGTCTTCTTAAATTTATTGAGACTTGTTTTGTGACCTGATATACAATCTACCCTGGGGAATGTCCCATGTGTTGTTGAGAACGTGTATTTGGTAGCTTTTGAATGGAATGTTCCGAATGTTTTTTGTTAGGTCCATCTGGTCTAACATGTAGTTTACAACCAGTTTCCCTAATGATTTTCTTCTCACATAATCCATCGTTGAAAGTGGTGTATGGAATTCCTCTATTATTATATTGCTGCCTGTTTCTCACTTCACATTGCTTAATATTTGCTTTATATATTAGGTGGTCCTGTTTGGGGTTCATAAATATTTACAATTGTTATATCCTCTTATTGACCTCTTTTATAATGACATTTTGTTAAAGTTTATTTTGTCTGATACAAGTACAGTGACCCTTGCTTTCCTTTATATGGAATTTCTTCTTCCATTTTTTCACTTTTAGTCCGTGCGTCCGTTAAGCTAAGACTCTTGTAAACACATTGTTGGGCCTTGATTTTTATTCATTCATTTGCTCTGTATCTGTCTACTGGAGAATTTAGTCCATTTATATTTAGTCATTATTGATGCCTATGTACTTACTATTGTCATTTTGTTATTTTCTGGTTGTTTTGTAACTTTTTTCCTCTTGCTGTCTTGTGATTTGATGATTTTCTGCAGTTGTATGCTGATTCCTTTTTCTTCATGTCATTCATAGTATATATGAATTCATCTCGTGTGTGTGTATGTACATACACACTCACTCACTGTAGGTTTCGGTTTTGTCACCATGAGGCTTACATAAAACTTAGTCTGTTTGTTGTATGGTGCTGTGCTGGGGGTGAGGTTTATGCGATATGTCTCAAGCCTTTCCTACCCATTTCTGTGTGGACATTTTCTCTGTCCAGTATGTAGGAGTAGCTCAGCTCATTTCTGGATCTCTCTTAGAGGGAACTGCCCATGTGTAGCTGTGCGTTTGGCGAGTCCATGGGAGGAGGGCACTCAGTAGCCTCCTGTGTCACTCTTAGTCATCTCCTTATCCCTCTCAACATCAATGAGAACTACATTATCTACGGGGAGTTGTAACAGACTCATCATCTCACAAGTTAACCCCCATTTTTTAAATTGTGACCATTATTGGTTTAAAAACTATTATAATTTTAACTGTAATGTGAGAAGGCTCATCTGCATTACTGGAAGTTTTCCTTATGAGTCACTTCTACATTCTCATATATTGTTATATAATTCTGCTTCAACAAGATTGTAAATGTGAGAAAGAAATTAGGAGCTCGCGGGGAGGCTGTGCTGCACGATCTATTTTACTATATTGATTACTGTGATTACTTGTGAGGAATGTTTTGGCCCTTCTTATCATAAACACTTCCAGATCAGAATCTCCATGATGGAGCCTGGCAATAGGTATTTTAACATGCTTTCTAAAGTTTGAATTCACATTGCTCTCTAGAAGGTATCGTGTTATTTTCACTGACATCATTTGCCAGTTTTTACACCTATTAGTTTATTCTCTTGCTACTTTTTATTACGAGATGAATTTAACATCTAATTTGATATGCAGCTCAGTTTCTTAGGCACTCTCCTTTCAGAGGAATACTGGTATCAGGTATGGTATTCTGATTCAGTGGGGTTTAACTAGGTGCAAACAGTAGAAGCAACTGCAGTGTTTTCTTCCTTTCCCCAAAATGGGGTCATGGGGGAGAAAGGGCCCTCAGACTGGTCTGTATTTTACAAAAGTTCCACAAGTGATTTTGATATAGAAATTTTAAAATCTGATTTGTTTTAACAAAGAAGTTTGTGCAGTTTTTTTGACAGCTCTGTTATTTATCCTGCTATTCCATTTTTATACCAAATCGGAAGTAGAATTGCTTTTCCTGTAAACATCCTTAGCAAATGAATTTTAACATAGGTTTTAGCATTAGTTGTGATTTCTTTTTCTCGTAGGTGTCATCTTTAAGAAATGAAAAGCGAGGCTCATCATATCTCGTCTCTGCCCCAGAAGGTGGTTCAGTGGAATTTGTTGACCAGCATTCTCAGGGCAAAGGAGCATATTACGTGGAGACCTACTTAAAAAAGAAGCGAGTGTACTGAGCTAAGTTCTTTCCTTATATAACCTCATAAGGTTCTTTGCAGTATCTCTGCTGTTCATCGCTGCCTTAACTACATTCAAACTAGCCATATCCTTTAAATACGGGTTTATAGTTTCCCAGAAAGAACTGTGTTGTGCAGCAGGCATAATTGCCAAATAAAAAGTAGCAATAAGAAGAGACATCAATTGAGGACATTTTCCACTAGAATTAGAGTCATCTTATTCAATGTGATATAAGTCCACTGTAGAAATTAACAATATTCCTTGTTTTAGGACTGGGAATAATTTTGACACCATATATAAAAATTTGAAGCAATAAATGGGAAACAGTCTTGTTTCCTGGGCCTTAGAAGAATGAGTTTCTTATAAGCCAATGTGTATTTCAATTTAATTTCCCTTAGAAGTAATCTCATTTATAGATTTTTAGATCTTTTCCTTAGAACTATAGGAATACAAAATGCAGTGATGGTATCGTTATAAAGATGCTCTTATATGCAAACTAAATTATTACCCCCACACCAGCCAGGCAATATATAATCCAAACAGAGTGATGGTGACGTCCAAAGTATACACTGCTACAGATGCTTTACTCTTAATATGTTATTAACCACTTATGCCTTTTGTGAAAAACAAGGTGTTTTAAGAAAAGTAGCTCTGGTGATCTAATTTCAGGGGTTGGCAAACTCTACCCCGGGGTGAAATTCAGTCCTCCACCTGTTTTTGTACAGACTACAAGCTAAGAATGATGTTTACATTTTTAAATGGTTGGAGGAAAAATGAAAATTTATGACTTTAAAATTATAGAAGTTCAGTGCCCATACATAAAATTTTATTGGAACACAACCGTGCTCATTCATTTACATATTTCCTATGGTTACTTTTGTGCTACAGTGGCAGAGCAGAATAGCTGCAACAGAGACCAGAAGGCTTGCAAAGCCTAAAGTATTTACTATCTGGCCCTTCATAGAGAAAGTGTGCTGACCCCTGACCTGACAGTGCTGATTACTTAATCTTTTTATGTCACCTTTAACTTTTGCAGCAGACTTTTAAGTGGCAAAGAACCTAGGTTTGTCTCATTTCATAGCATAGACTAGTGATGACCTAATTACTAGAATAGGGCATATTTTGACTATCAACTGCCCTATTTCTGCAAAATTATAATAAAGGAATCAATATTGTCCTTTCTGAAGGAATCTTATGGAGTAACAGTATAACTATTTTGAGCTAATGAGCTTTACCTCACTCTGCTTGGTCTCATTCTTTTGTAGTATATTAGGCTAAGAATTTATTGGCTATTTAACCTAATTTGCGAAAAAATTGTTTTATTGCATATAACTTTTCACATCACCATTTCCTGAAGACCCTAGTATCAAATGCATGAGAAATGCTTTGCCATCTAGAAATCTCTAAGTTTGTTCCTTGTTATGAGACCATAATTGATGTAATGGAGTTTAGGGGTGTCACTGATCCTAGTCTTTTTGAACTCTGAGCATACCTTGTAATTTGGGGGACTTATAAGATCCTGTTTTAATTATGAAGTTTAAAATTGGTACATATGTTGTATGATTTGTAAAGAGTTTTACTTGGTCTAATTTATTGCATATATTCTTTTGGAAATGACAGCTAGAAAGTTAAAACTAAGAATTTCTAAGAAGTATACTACCTATGAATAACTGATCGGGATAAGCATTCCTCGGTTATGACTCAGGAGATTAGTAATGGCTTCTCCTTGCTCTGCACTTCTTCCCATTTTCCTGTTGCATTAAGCTTCTTCAATGCTTAGTCACCTCTGTGACAGTACAAACAGAAGATAGTGAATTTTAAATCAGAGCTGCAAAAATGAAAGCAGGAAGAGGTTGAAAGAACTAAAAGATATTTTGGATTATAGCACATGTGGATCTGCCATCTGTACTGGCCTGTGCCCCATTATCATTGGTCATAACATAAGTACAAATCAAGTGTTGTTAGTAATAAGGACCATTACCAAACCTCTCAAAGTTACTGTTATTTTTCTAAGTAAACAGATTGTTTGAAATGCTATGAAAATGAAATCTTAATATTAAAAAGCATATGCATGTGAAGTCTCTAGCATATTTATTTGTATAAAGAGTAAACAAAAAGTGCATATAGAGTGGCCACAGGTTTGTTAGACAGGTCTTGGTGATGTAAGGTTATTGAACAAATTTAAACGGCAAGTTTCTTACTGCCACTGAATCCAGAACTCTTTATCAGGCTCAAAAGGTGAAAAATAACAACATTGAACAAATGCTAGACAGTATTAACACAGTTTTTCAGACTCTTGGTCATACAGGTCTTATGGTTCACATTGAATCAGAGCTTAGACATTTTGATTACCCAGCTACCCCAAAGCATACTGAAAACCGTCTAGTGGATCCTGAACTCCATAGTGCTTCTACCTGGGTCTTTTCTTTCAAGTCTTATGCTGTAGGGTGATGGTCAAAATAGTGATCAACTCTTGTAGATGGATGTAAGTATTGAAATACTCTAAGAACAGTGCGGTGTATGTGGTATATAGTCTAACTGGTTGCATACAGCATCCAAAACCAATGCTGGAATAGCTTGCCCCAAAGTGGTAGTTATAAAAGGATATCCATTGACATTTCTTAAAAGCATGTATAATAGCATCCAGGTTCTTAGAATCAAATCTGATTAAAGGTATAATGTTTAGGAAAGCACTGGCACAGTTCTCAAGAATTAACGTCATGCAGCAAAGGATCTATTCCATAGCTGTCCCCCTGGGTATGACCAATTTTCTCAAAAAAAAAAAA